CTTGTTCGTGGGCGCGACTTCTCCACACGCTAAAGGTACAAAGCTGTTTCAGCTTGAACAGGTCTGGCTTTGCTAACAACCTCGAGAACTTCCAGGAATATATTTCAGTAGACAACAGCTCAAGAGGATAACAAATTAGTAGTGTTTCCTGCTTTTCACCTGGAGGGCTGCTGTAGGGGAGCAAAGCTTGCTGGTGTTCCTGCTCAGGGAGAGGGCAGCGTCCCACGCGAGCACATCCAGAATGAATCCTGAATCCCACGGGCTCAGTGACAGCCGCCCTAGTAAAGCTTCGTAAAAGTAATGTTACATCTTGGAATCAGCTGTGCATGCCACACACCAGTGTCAGTGCCATATAAAAATTGTCAGAAGCTGTACCTCATTAGTTTATACACAGGTGAAATGAAAACTGTTCAGTCAGTACTTTGCAATATCATTTTACCGGTGCTGCCTTGTGGTAAGTGCTGGATAGCAAATCTCATTCTTGTACAGTTCATTAAATGATGATAAAAATATGCAAATTAAAAATCTCTACAGGCCTCTTACCTGCTGCAACAATGACACTTTGTTTTGTGGGGCTTAGTTTAAAGCATGATCCAATTTCTTCCTTTCTCCCCAGAGCATGATATAAAACTATACCCAAATTCAGCCAGAATTGAATGCATCCACATTTATTGAAGTTCACATGCTGCAAACAGGCTCTGCGATAAAAGATCTTCAAATCTAGGGTAAGAGGTCACTAAAAAACCCTCTCTTTTGTTATACCTAGATGCAGGTGAGAACAACCACCACCACGAAAGCACATTGACGTAGACATAACACACACTGCTGGCTGTTTCCTCTGCAGGAACATGGGGACTGTCACCCTGGCCAAGCTCACTGACTGCCAGACCTCCAACAACAGCCAACAAACCCATCAGCCCAGAGAGGAGGGTACAGTCAGTGCTTTGCTTATGCCTCAAAGCACAAGGATTTATGATCCAATGGAAATACCCAGCTGCAAGCACCACTACTCTGCTAGTTGATAAAAATGCTATTTATTAAAAGTAGAAAAATGGGGTATTTACTTTGGGTGAAACACTCGCCATCCTGTGCACGCGACCTTCGGAAAATTGCCACTGAAGCAGAGATCACTGGTCACCTCGATCTCTTCCCACAGGCAACATTTGCTGCCAGTGTTACTATACATTCGTTTGGTACAATGCTTATTTAAACAACTTTCAAAATACATTAAAGAATCCTCAGCCCATGAATCACAATGCCTAAAAAAAAATAAATATCCTAACAGTCCCAACTAAAAAGGATTTCAATAATCACTTCAGTGTTTCTTGGATATGGAGATCAATCTCTGAAAGACAAGTTTGGTTCCAGGAGAGTGAGGAAAGAAATGGGGGTCAAGGTTCTGGGACAGAGGCTGCGAGCAGCCAAAAAGAAGCAGTTAACTGGAGGATTCAGAGCTCTTACAGGAGCGAACCTCACGCCCTCCCAGAAGAGCAGGAGTGCACTGATGACTGCTCTAGAAACCACACAGGTTAATTTTCCAGCTGCATGGAGAACAGAAGTGTCCCTGAAACAGTGTAAAGCTCAGCGAACTGTGACGTAGCCAGGTAACCAACCTCGTGTGACCATTTCCACAGTGACACAGCGACCCTAAAGGAAAACTCACTGCTCAAAGGGAGAGAGAGGGAATGGCAGCCTCTTTGGACTGGACCAGACACTACAGGTTTACTGGGAGAGTTATGGACACTAGCTCGGTCTCATGGGTCAAGACAATCAAGGTCCAAGTTGTAAAGTGGCCACTGGCATTTTTGTTTTCAAATACATCTCTTTAAATGCATTCCCCTATAAAGAGAGTCTAAATATGAAGCCCTGAGAACAAAATTCCATATAGTACATTTCTATTAAAAATAGCAGTGTTTTGATGACAAAATTATAAGTTACATCTATTTAAATAAATAGCTAGCTAGCTTTTGAGTCATGTAATATCAAAAGGTAGATTGTCTGTATCAAGTGATGGGGCAAAGAGTTAGAACTGTAAGGAACAAACACTGTATTAGCCACCAACCATCCCACTTCCTTACTTGATTTCACAGGCTTCCAAATATTCCCATGACCATGTTACAAGACAATTAAATATGGCACGTCTTTGCTCGTTATCACTTCAACTCCAGAGGTCCAAGCACAGAACTTCAACCTGTAAATCCTTAATTCTGTGATTTCTTCCTCACAATAACTTTTTTTTTTTTTAAACCCGAGCCTTCTACTCCTGTGTGCTTAGGGACCTCTCGCTGGCCTACAGACCAGATCCACCAGTCCTCCTCTACCCTTCAGCCACGGAACAGGACAGTTTATCCCCAGGCAGAGCTCTGACTACACACACTCCTTGTGCCTGGAGACCCATCTGCACATTCTGACTCCATAGCAGCAGATCTTTCAATTTTCTGCAAGTTTTCTAAAAGCTTGGATAACCAATGTCACCACAAGCACAGGGGACTTACCTCCCCAGGTGTGATGGGGACACAGCTCCCTAGTCTGCTACTAATTCATACCCCAACACCACCACTGATGCCCTGATCAATTCCTCATTGAGCCTCAAGGGTAGTTTTTATTTCTTTTAAATCAACTCCCATGCCTTGCTGCAAACATCACATGTCCTAAGCTCTGGCCTCTTTCAGCTCTTGGCCACTGGAAACTAAGTTCTCTAAAGACAAGCAGCATTACGTTAAAGCCATACCAAGCAAGAAAACTGTTTGGCAGATCAGGAAGAACACACTCTCCAACACTTCAGCTGTGGAAATGTTGAGCTCTGGAACAATGAAATCCAGAAATAACCACATATTCTTGAGCCTTGAAGCATTTTGAAGCTGCAGCATTCCTTTATCCCTACGTCTCCCACTGCTGCTGCAACATTAGTTGTTGAACCTGAGCACTTTTACCTTCTATTACCTAAGCATGATTTGTTTTACTGATACTCTTACCCCTCTCACTTTATAAAAGGTTCAGTGGCACCGACTGTGTTCTGGCATATCCAGGCAGGCAGCTCTGGTAAGTTTTATCACCTTGATCAAACTGATACAGAACGTGCACAGTTCACTAGCAGGTCTTTGCAGTATCACACTCTGATCCTGTTGCTGTGGGGTTGATGCAGAGATACACAAGCAGCAGAACCTTTACCCTTAGAAGCGAGTCACTCTGCTCCTCCAGAGCAGGTCAGACACTGCACAGCAGGAACACACCCAGCTTCAACCCCCGAAACGTTGGGGAGCTGATTCTGCCCCAGCAGTAGGAACAGTGCTGGGGGCAGCTCCTCCATGCCACCTGGGTTCTAGTCACCTGAGTTCTGCTAGCAAACCAGATGCCAAACCCTTAGAGGACCCTAAAGTTGACGGATGATCCTTGCCTGGTCTGTCTGTAAGCTCTACAGACACTCCAGACTCTGACCATGTATTACTGCAATCAAAAGAAACATTTCAACAAACCTTTACATTCTTCAAAGACCAAGACTGCTACCAGAGGATCTGTTCGTTAACTCTGGACCTGTCCTCGCTCCTTCAGAAGCCAGAAAACCCCCACCAAAACACATGGTAGTTTTCTCCCAGCTTTATCTTCTAAAAAGACTAATTGAGGAGTATTTACAAGGATCCTGATTGCTAGTGAAGGACATGCACCTCGAACTTTAAGAGTTTCAAGTAGTAGTGTCTCTGGTAGTATTGCAGGCAAAAGGCTTCAGGGAGCAAGGAAAAAAAAGGACAAAATAATAAAAGCCTTTCACAACACAACGTTCAGTCGTAAGGACTCACGAGTAGTTGTGCTGAACTCACTGGCTGCAGGATCAGGCTCCTAGCTTTTACAGTTAGAGGATAAGATTACAATTTAATGGCATGCTGTCAATCTCTTTAGCAAAAGTCCAGGAAAACGGTTTTACAGTCCAATTTGAACAGAAGAAGCATGTCTACAGAGCTTGGATTTTTTAAAATGTAGGAGTGAATATTTCAGCAGTCATGAACTGTAAAGCTTAATATGATGTGAAAAAAAATCCTGGGATAGTAAGTCAAGATAAAATCTCATGCTGTTTTGATTTCCCCACCCTTCGTATTAATTATGTGAAATTGGCAACTTCAGTGCCTTGACTGCATAACAGCAGAGACTGGGTGCCAAGTTCAGGCCAAAACTTGTTGCAGGGTTTCGGGTTGCATCTTGTTGCATTTTTGTTTAAAAAACACAACTGCACAAAAAACCCTCAGACACGTAAGAAGGTGAACTCAGGATCCCTCTATTCAACAGGACACCTCCGCGCTATGTAAGGAAAGGGTCTCCATCTGCATTCTGGAGAGGCAGGGCTTG